TTTGGGACAGAGAGAGACAGAGCATGAACGGGGGAGGGGCAGAGAGAGAGGGAGACACAGAATCGGAAACAGGCTCCAGGCTCCGAGCCATCAGCCCAGAGCCTGAGGCGGGGCTCGAACTCACGGACCGCGAGATCGTGACCTGGCTGAAGTCGGACGCTTAACCGACTGCGCCACCCAGGCGCCCCTCTCTGTCATATCTTAATCCTCATTTAAATGGGTCTTTTTCTAAATTCTCTAGACTAGGGGTTACAAACTACACTGTATGGGCCAAATGTGGCCTGCTATCTTTCTTTGTTAATAAAGTTTTATTGGAACACAGCCATGCCGATTCATTTGCATATTGTCTTTGGCTGCTTTCATATTAAAAGAGCAAAGTTGAGTAGTTGTGACAGACCTGAAGGCCTCCATAACCTAAAATATTTACTGTCTGACTTTTTACAGAAAAGGTTTGCCAACTCTTATTCAAGACTGTATTCTGTTTCATTAGTATATTTACCCTTTATCATTACTTGTTATCTTTGCTGTAGGTTTCTAGTATTTGCCTTTGGTGAGGTTAAAGAAATTTTTTTTTTTAATTTCTAGTTTGCTAATTGGTTTTTTTTCTCTCCTTTTAACCAAAAATGGATGTTTGTATTCATTTCAGACGTGGAAATGAACTTACTGATTTTTCCTTTAATCCATTAATTTTGTTAATTATATTGTTAGGTTCTGAAATGAGTCATCTTTTTATTTGTAGTTAACCCCCAGTTTGTTGCATTACAGTGTTCTTTTCATACTTTGCTGAATTCACTTTGCTAACATTCATTTATATTATCTGTATTCACTAGTGATTTTTCCTATAGTGTTTTTATTTGGGGTAGTGAGATCCTGTTCTAATCTGATTTGAGTATCAGGGTTCTGTTATTCCTGAGAACATAACCAGGGCTGTGTTTTGAGGTTATGGGAAGCTCTCCATTTTTTATTATGCTTAACTAACATAATTTCTTGAATATTTAGTAGAAATTTCCCATAATTGAGATTGGTACAGTTTAGGAAGATGATCGTTGACTTCTTTTTCAAATATCTCTTATAGTTATTGATCTATTTAGATTTTTTACTTTCTCTTGAGTCACTTGGTAATTTATGTTTTCCCTGAAAAATCACCCATTTCATTTAGATTTTTATATTTATTGATAAAAAACTGTAAGACAATTCTCTGTATCTCTTTGAAATCTCTATATCTGCTCTTTTCTCATTTTTAAATGCATGTGTTTTCTTTTCTTAACCAGACTCGCTAGTGGTTTGTTATATTACTTGTTTTCAAAGAACCACTTTTTAGTTTTATTATTTTTCTTTTTCATTTATTTTCTTTAACCGTATTCCATTTCTTTACATTTTTCCTTTTTTCTAACTTCTTTTAAACTTTTAATAGTTTGGATGCCTTTTCTAATTTTTTTCTAACTTCTAGTAATTTGAATGATTATTCATTTATTTTCAAATAAATGCTACATATTTTTCTCTGGTTATGGCTTTGGCCATATTCCATAGGTTTTGATATATAGTGCTCTTATTGTCATTAATTTTAATGTTTTTTTTTACATTTTAAAAAATGTTTATTTATTTATTTTTGAGAGAGAGGGGGGCAGAGAGAGGGAGAGAATCCCAAGCAGGCTTCACACTCAGTAGAGAGCCCAGTGTGGGGCTTGTGCTCATGAACTGTGAGATCATGACCTTAGCTGAAATCAAGAATTGGACGCTTAACGAGGCGCCCCTATTTTCTCTTTAACCGAAAAGTAATTTGACACAAAAGTTTAGTTTCCAAATGGAAACTTTTGTTATTGTTGCTAATACCTAGTTTTATTATATTGTGATAAAAATATGTGGTGTATGGGGTTTTTCCTTCTTGGAGATTGTCTTTGTGGTATATGTGGTATATGTGATTGTTCCGTAGGTACTCATAAAGATTGTAAGTTCTTGACTGTTTGGGGATTAGGTTCTTTTTAAAAAAAAATTTTTTTTAATGTTTGTTAAACGTCTCTTTTTTGAGAGAGACAGAGACAGAATGAGAGTGGGTTAGGGGCAGAGAGAGAGGGAGACACAGAATCTGAAGCAGGCTCCAGGCTCTGAGCTGTCAGCACAGAGCCCTACGCGGGGCTCAAACTCACGAGCCGTGAGATCATGACCTGAGCCGAAGTCGGACGCCCAACCGACTGAGCCACCCAGGGGCCCTGGGGACTAGGTTCTTTATTAAATCAATGTTTTAAATTATTACTCTAAGCTTTTTTGTTTTGTGAGTCTAGGTGAGATCAACTTCTGAATGACATGTTAAAATCTCCCAGTGTGATTGTGCGTTTGTGGTTTGTTCCTTGTATATCTAATTTTCAGCCTGTGTGTATTATTTTGTTGTAGACTTACCTTTTTTAAATAGGATTAACAACCAGTATGAGCTGGTACAGCATACTGGCTGGTACCCATTCAGATCTGTGTAAGTCTATGCCACATCACTTGTTAGTTTTAATATTATCATTGCTGTTACTTGCTTATAGCTGGATTTAGGGTTCTTTTACTTTGTTTCCCCTACACGCTTCCTGCCCCCAAGAGACTTTGTCTCTTAATAGGGAAGTCTTTTCCTACTTTTGTTATTTTATGTTTTCCATCTATTCTGCTTATTGTTGCTTCTCTACCTCCAGCTCCCTGCCTTTTCCTGCCTTTGCAAGATTTTTAAAAATTGTAATGAGGTTGAACATTTGTGTATGTGTTTGTATATGTGTTTCTGTGTGTGTATACATATACATTTATACAGTTTTTATTTCTCATTCTGTGAACTGTCAGTTTATATCCTTTTGTTTGTATCTATTGTGTGATTAGTTATAATATTGATCTTGTAGGAGCTTTTTACATTAGGAAAATTTTATCTTTTTTGGTGATGTGTACCAAATTTCTTTTTATAGTTTGTCTTTCTTTTGACATGGTTTTGTACTGTAGTGTTTTTTTTCCCTAACCATCTTATTAACTGTTTTCCATAGACTGACACTGCTTTGCTTATTTTTCCTTTTCCTTACTTTTTCTTGATGTACTGTTTTCTTCTTTCCTCTTAATGATTTGAAAGTTATATGTGCTAATTCTGTGCTTCTGTTAGTTGTTCAGAAATTATTACACACATTTAAACTGAGAAGATCTTGTCATCTTTGAGAGTAGATTACTGTCTTTACCTTCTTTTACTTACCCTTATTTTCCCATATGTTCCATGTATTTTTGAATCTTATTCCAAATTATAATACTGTTAAGAAATTAATTATTTGGTTAGTCTTACTGTTTGCTTAGACCTCACATCCACACTTATAAACATAAATTTAAATGTGATTATAAATCACTGATTTCTTTGTACCGCCATTTCTCTTATTCAGCGTATTCTTTCTTGGATTTCTTTCATTTCTTTCATTTTTCTGAAATGGCATCTAGTGTCATTTTTTTTCCCCCAAAACAATTATATAGCTACACTTTGAAGTTTTATATCTCCTAAAGTGTTTTGATTTTGCCCTCTTATTTGAGTAATAATTTGATAGGAAATATATTCCTATAAAAGTCATTTTGCTCAAAACATTGAAAACATCAATGTCACGCATGAGAAGTTTTATGCCAGTTTCTAGAGTTAAAAAAAAAAAAAAGCTATGCAGGGCATTGCTATGACATTATAGAGTGAAAATTTTAAAAGAAAAAAGTTACAAAGCAACATTTGTAGTATGTCTCATTTATGCATATGTGGAGATCCATACAGAAAGGGGGGTCAGAAAGGGTATTTACTGGTGCACCTGTGTGGCTCAGTTGGTCGAGCATCCAGCTGTTGATTTTGGCTCAAGTCATGATCCCAGGGTCATGGGATTGAGCTCCCCGGGCTCTGTGCTGAGCGTGGAGCCTGCTTAAGATTCTCTGTCTCTCCCTCTGCCCCACTCCCCCACTCACGCTTTCTCTTTCTCTAAAATTAAAAAAACAAAAGGGGGTATTTACCAATTATTGTCAACAGTGATTGTCTTGGTTATCTAGTACCATGTAATAAACCCCCAAAGAGTTTGTGATGCAAAATAACATTATGCTCAGGGATTCTGTGCATCAGGAATTAAGATAGGACACAGCAGTGATGGCTAGACCCTGAGATGGGAAGGCTTGAATGGTCACTCCCACATCTGATGCCTCAATGGAAATGGCTGAAGGATGGACTGAACTGGGGCCGTCATGCTGCATGCCTATGTATGCTGCTTCAGATTTGTGTTAGTTGGACTTACCTGATGCTTCAGGATTCCAAGAACAAGTATTTTATAGTGACTTCTGAGGCTTGGTCACAGCCTCAGAACCAAGGCTTGGCTGTGACCAAGCCTCAGAAGTCACATAGTGTCATATCACCACACTCTAGTTGAAGCAGTCACAGCTTGCCTGGAATTGAGGGTGAGGACAGACATAACTACCTCCTGAATGGAAGTGTCAGAGAATTTGTGGCTATGTTTTCAAACCATCACAGTTGTTGTCTTGGATGTGAGTGTTGGTTAAATGATGGCAGGAATTTTTTTAATCTCTTCTGTTTGCTGCTGATCCCCGCAAGAGTACCTGGTGCATGGTAGTTTTTGGTAAATACGTGGTGAATAAATGAGGAAGGGGTTTTTGCTCTCCTAATGCCTTTCTGTACTAAATGAATGTTTCATAGTAAGCATATCTTATCTTTATAAATAGAAACAAAAATCAAATAGAAGATATATGTTCTGTTAATGTTTTAATATTATTTCATGATATCCTAGATATTTAAATGATTTCTATGAGTTGGAGCTACAGCACGGTTCTGGTGTTGTGGGTTGGAGCATTCCAGTGACTAAAGGGATTGTGCCTTCTCCAAGAGAATCCCACACAGCTGTGATATATTGCAAAAAAGATTCTGGAAGTCCTAAAATGTATGTCTTTGGTGGAATGTGTGGTGCTCGCCTGGATGATCTATGGCAACTTGACTTAGGTAAGCTTACCTTGATTCAGACTCAGGAATTGGTTTTGATTGATAAAGGAAAATGTAAAAATCCTTTGAAAAATATTTTCGTTAAAGTATTTATCGAGTCACACTTAGGTTTATAGAAAGCACGTGTAGCCAGCTCTGGAACAGGTGAGATGTGACGTGAGTGGTTGCTGATCAATAAAGTTAAACAAATGAATGTTTGGTTTATGGCCGTAACTCTCCTGTGTTCCTTATAAGTAGGGTCGCCATATGTCCTGGTTTGTCCAAGGTGACTGATTAATGCTTATTGTCCCATGTAACTATCAGTAGTACCAATTACCACTCTGTAAAATGTCCCAGTTGGGGATGATCAAATTTATATGGTTACTCTGTCTACAGAAAATGTAGCATTAGTAATGTTATTACTGGTCAGTGAAAAATCCTGGGCTAGTTAGCTCTTTTTAAAAGGATCCTAGGAATGAAGTGATTGGGAGGTAGGTGTGCCTCTCGCTTTTGACTATCTTCTACACAATGTGCTCTTACTTCAAATGTGAAAATCTCTAATTTGGTTTTAATTCAAAATTGGTGGCACCCTAAATACACCTCTGTATTTCAAACACTAACGTTCAAGTATAAATAGATTACTATAATTAGCTATTTATGTTGGCTGTAAATGCTCATTTTAAGATGAAATTCAAGTAATGGTTTTGAAACAGTTTTGCTTCTTTTTGGTAAGTCCTTTTTTTTTTTTTTTTAAGATTCTGCAAGTTGAGGTAATTTGCTATTATTAGACCAAATTGCTAATATACTTAATTTTTACTTCTAGAAACGATGTCGTGGTCAAAACCAGAAACTAAAGGGACGGTGCCACTTCCACGAAGCCTTCACACAGCCAGTGTTATAGGAAACAAGTATGGTGGTGGTTTCTGGTTTTTTTGTTTTTCACTTTTTTTTAACCAACTTAAGAAAGACACACACAGGGAAGAGTGGTGCTACCAAGTTCTTAGGAATAGATTATTGAATTTAATAGTGTTTGTTTCCTGAAGCAAAAATAATAAGCCTACAGAGGCTAAAATACTTCGGCATTTTCTTGTCATGCCGTCTCTTATACTTGTGTGCATTCGTCACAGTGCTTTCCTTGCACAGAGTACATTTACTTAAGTTTGAGGCATAGGCATCTGAGGAACAGATCTGTTCTCTGTTGCCAGGTTTGACACACCTAACTCAGTGTTTCGTTTTACTTATTTTTGGTAGTACTTGACTTATACTCAGGTATGTACTCAGAATGTACACTCGCTGGTTAAACTTTGGATAGAGTTATGGTTAGACCGTAAACTCTGTAACCAGATGCCTGAATTCACGTCTCCAGTTTTGGTACTTGTTCTGTATGACCTGGGGCAAGGAAATTTAATCTGTCTATACCTCACTTTCCTTACATATAAAATACAGTCAATAATAAAACCTACTTCACGAGGTTGCCTTCAGGATTAAATGGATTAATACATATGAAATGCTCCAAACAGTGCCTGCTACATAAGGAGTACGCCATAAAGGTTAGCTATTACTATCATCAGCAATTTCCCTTACTTGTGCATTATTGTGTAAATAGAATTTAATTAAGTATTTTCTTGTGTAGGGGCTTTACCTTAAAAGTAATGTTTTAGGAAACAGCTACAACCTCATTAGTTCTTTTTAAAAAATAGCCATAAACAAAATCTGATAGGTACGTTTTAAAAAATCTCAGAACCCTTTTATAAAATGTGGTTTTCCACTGGAACTCTAATATAGAAAATAGGTATAAAATAGAGCTTCTCCACTTGGCATGCCGTCACATCGGCCCGAAGCTCTGCCTGATGAGCCTTTCTCTTTCAAGCAGTCATTAGGCATGTCTCAAGAACCTTTAGGGGCCCGAGGGACATAGTTAAAGGTTTTTTGTGTTTTGTTTTGTTTTAATGTTTATTTATTTATTTTGAGAGAGAAAGAGAGGGAGAGAGAATCCCAAGCAGGCTCCTGCGGGGAGCTCGATCTCACAAACCACGAGATTGTGACCTGAGCCGAAATCAAGAGTCAGACGCTTAACTGACAGAACCACCAGGTGCCCCAAAAGTTTTTTATTTGAGTGATATCAGTGACCAAAGTTATAAGAAACTTAATCTTCTTTGGTTACTGTATGCATACAACTCTAAATTTGACTTTGGATATCATAGATCATTTGCCTATCTTTCTGAGTGAGGTTCACTCATTATAAATAGTATTGATTTTCAAATGTATTAGAATTGAAATATTTTCCACTTAAGTAACTTGCCAGAGACAAATAATTTGATTCTGTATTGCTTCATAGAATTGTAAACTCTTCAGAGAAGATTGCTTTATTCATTATCTTATTCCCATTACCTTGACCATAATAAGTGAGTTAATAGTCCTGAAGCTTTGAGTAAACAAGTAAGTTTAAGTCTAAACAAGTAAGTTTAAGCTAAGTCTATTCTTAGCATTGAAAATCTAAAAAGAAAAAAAAAGTAAAGCTCTAGAAAAAAAAGTCAGCCACTTTATGTTCTCTCTTTTTGTTGTTCAGGATGTACATTTTTGGTGGATGGGTTCCACATAAGGGGGAGAATATTGAGACTTCACCTCATGATTGTGAATGGAGATGTACTAGTTCATTTTCTTATCTAAATCTGGGTAAGTCTTTTAAGAGCTACTTATTGAAATAAAATTTATTAATAAAAGAGTTCTTGTTATTTTGTTATTTAAGAGCAATACTGTAGTCATGGTTATTGCTGTCTTGTAGATACAGCAGAGTGGACCACCCTCGTATCGGATTCTCAGGAAGATAAAAAAAATTCAAGACCAAGACCACGAGCTGGACACTGTGCTGTTGCAATTGGCACTCGATTGTATTTTTGGAGTGGAAGAGATGGCTACAAAAAAGCACTGAATAGTCAAGTTTGCTGCAAGGATCTTTGGTATCTTGATACTGGTAGGTAAGAGTATTTAACGAATAGAATTTTCTTTTAGGTAAATAAATACCTGAGCACTGTCTGTCTCTTAAGACTTACTGTAAATGCCACTGCCTCTCTTTTCCATAATTAAAAATGAATGGAAGAAATATTACATTGGAGTAGATATTTCTCACTCCATGAGAGGTTTTTTTTAAGTTTATTTATTTATTTTGAGAGAGAGAGAGAGAGAGAGAGAGAGAGAGAGAGAGAGAATCCCAAGCAGGCTCTGCACTGACAGTGCAGAGGCCAGTGTGGGGCTCAAACCCACGAACCACGACATCATGACCTGAGCTGAAGTTGGATGTTCAACCAACTGAGCCACCCAGGTGCCCACGAGAGCCCCTCTCTTTGAGTGTGTAGACTGGGATATGGTGACTCCCTTCCAAAGCATAGAATATGAAAAGAGAAAAACAGTGGCTGTATGGTAGAGAAACCTGGAAAACACCACCTTAATCAAGTAATCAGTGTTAATATCACTAGTGATAGTCATGTTAATATCATTTATCCCTGCTTCTCATATCATGTGATAAGAAGAAACTTCACCTTTGTATTACCCCAAAACCTATAACCCCACTCTGAGAGAACATATCAGATAAGCGCAAATTGAGGGACATTCTAGACATTCTACAGAATATGTGAACAATACTCTTAAATAAAAGTTTCAAAGTGATGAGGGGGGCTTTGAAAGCAATGAGTTGGACTCTTGATTTCATCTCAGGTCCTGATCTCATGGTTCATGAGATCAAGCCCTGCATAGGACTCTGTGCTGGCAGTGTGGAGCCTACTTCGCATTCTCTGTCTCCCTCTCTCTCTCTGCCCCTCCTCTGCTCTCTCTCTCTCTCAAAATGAATGGATATGCACTTTAAAAAAAGTTTCAAAGTGATGAAAAACGAGGAAAGTGAGAAATAGTTACAAATTGGAGGAGACTAAGGAGATATGATGACTAAATGCAAGGTGGTACACCCTAGATTGGATTAAAACAAACAAAAATGTAAATAGAAAATAGGTGGAATCTGAGTGGTCTGTAGTTTAGTTAACATTATTATTCCAGTGTTAATTTCTTAATTTTGACAAATGTGTTAGCATTAGGGGAAACTGAGTAAAGATAAAGAATATATGGGCACTCTGCATTTTTTTTTTTTGTAAATCTAAAAGTATTCCAAAGTAAAACCATTTTTTAAAAAGTATTACAACACTACAAATTTATTAAATATGGAACTCATCTATTTTTTAATAAATACTTATTGATTGATACTGTATACCAGGAATTGTTCTAAATTGTTCTAAATGCTGAGAAGTGAAATGCAACAGCAGTGAAAGAGACTGATAATGTCCCTGATGTCAAAGAACTTATATTCTTAGAGAGTATGAGGGCAGGGGGATGATGGGCACTAATCAAACAAATTAACAAAATCAGTTCCATTTCTGGTAAGCATGTGAAGACAGTAAGACCAGTGGGATAGTAATGGGAGGCACTGGAGTAAAGAGGGGTGGGGCTAACTTTGGAGTGGGTAGTTAGAAAAGTATGAAATGGCATTTGGAATATAATCCAGATGGGGAGAAGATGCTATCCGTGGAAAAGGCTGGGGGAGCAACACTGTAGGAAGAGTGAACAGCAAGTACAAGAGCCCTGAAATGGGAATGCGTGGCTCGTTTGGGCCCAGTGAAGGAGGAGAGTGTAGGGATGGAGGTTAGAAAAGTGACCACAGGACAGATCTTGTAGGGCCTCAAACATCATGGTAGAGTTTAGATTGTTTATAAAGTACAAAGGTAAGTTATTTATTAGTTTGAAGGAGAGACGTGTCGTGATCTGATGTACATTTTGGAATGGCCACTGCAGTTGCGTGGAAAATAAATTGGAGGTGAGCAAAGGTGCACACAGTGAGACAAGTTAGGAGGCTTTCACAGCAGTCAGAGAAGTCTTAGACTACGGTGGTGCCAGTGGAGATGCAGAGAAGTGGCTGAATTCAGGATATGTTTTGGAGTTCTTGTTGACAGAACTGGCTGATGAATTGGGGGTGGCATATGACAGAAAGGACAGGAGGATGAAGTTTTTAGCTTGAATAATTTTGGTGGTATTTCCACTTACTGAGCTGGAGAAGACTGAGGAGAAAACTGGCTTGGGGAGAAAATTAAGAGTTCCATTTAGACCATGCTAACTTTGAAATAAGGAGATCAAATAAGTCGTTGAGGAACAAAGAAGTCTGGAGGCCAGCGGAGAATCAGATTTGGAGATGATGTAATGTGCACTGTTATATGAGAAAAGCAGATTATAAAACATATCTATAATTCCAGGGTTTTTTTTAAGTGTATAAATAGAAAATTCTGGAAGGATACAGTAGTATGCCAAAGTGTTATCTAAAAGATGAGGGACACCTGGGTGGCTCAGTCGGTTAATCATCTGACTTCGGCTCAGGTCATCATCTCACAGCTTATGAGTTCAAGCCCTGCATCAGGCTCTGTACTGACAGCTCAGAGACTGGAGCCTGTTCAGAGTCTGTGTTTCACTCTCTCTCTCTCTGCCCCTCCCCTCACTCACACTCTGTTTCTGTCTCTCTTTCTCTCTCAAAAATAAATAAACATTGGGGCGCC